TAACAATTTTTTTAAAAAAGTTGTTAGCAGATTTGTATATCAAGATACTTATGACTATCAAAAGATCTCATCTAACTTACTCAGCTAATTTATGAAAGAGAATTGATTGTAGTAAAACATAGTCAGACTTTAAGTTCTATGGATAGTGGAAGGTGAATGGAAGATTGATCCATATAACTTTCCGAAGACTCCTAAAACTTTGTAAAATTCTGGGAATACCGGAGTTTTCGATGTCTGTACCATTTTTGCATTAGTATAATTGTGTGGCAAGTACAATCATACACTATGCTGAGGGAAGTCGAGAAATTTACAACCCGACAAATTCCTAGACTGGACTGGGAATCGAACCCAGCCACCTCCTTTTACCGACTGAGCTATGGGAGGCCCGAGGCGGAACTTCAGAAACCAAGAAACTCAAGGAACCCAAAGATATTCGCCATTCTTGAGGCTATTTATGGTGCGTTCTTCTAAGAATCTTACATCAGATTACTGTATACTACTATACTCTACAGAGTTGAGTTTGAAATAATAATCAGTATTTCATACTACCATACCCACAAATTATGAAACGGCCTGGTCTCCCTGAATTTGAGAAAAACTAGAATAATTTCCGAAATCCTTCAGAGTGTTCCCAAAGTACCCTGATCTCTGATCTTAAAGTTTTGTGTGGTTCCGAAAGTTTCTGGATCTTCATAAAAATTATAAAATCTGGATCTTCCGATAAACTCAAAACTTTACGGGTTAATCTTCAATTCTCATAGATGGTCGTGGATAATCTTCAGTTCTCGGAAATTCCAAAGTTTTCTGGTGTACCCGAAAATTACCACGTCAATCCATCCAGCGGGACAAACTTAACGAATATGAAAGTTGATACGTGTTTTGGAATGTACCAATAGCGTACAATAGCATATAAACATACGATTTCGGCAATGACCGCCTGGATCGACCACATTTCCACGGAAATGTGATGTACCAAATGCATACCTTACGAATCTGTAATTCATTTTTAACGTTTCTCTTATTTTCACTTAAATGCTTATTCTAAACTTCTTAAACCACTGTATATATGAATTTTGACCACGGAATTGGATTTATCGAAAAATTATCGGCTGATTTCATATAAAAACATTGTACTTGAGTGCATTCTACCCAATTTTAGGACCAAAAACCTTTGTTTTATTGTGTTGCGCCCAACACTTTTACGGTGCAATGTAGTTGTTATTAGAGACGATGTTTTATAAGAGACGCGCGGAGAGAATAAAAGTAAATTTGGTTGCACGGCCAACAAAGTTATTTTGTCTGCAAGGTTTGGCAACCAACAATTTTGTGTTTACTTCGAGTGACTTTAAATTTGAGCGAATATCTACCAGTTACACCAAACTGATGATCAAATGCATTGTTTACAAAAGCAGATACGTCCCTTTAAAAAGTAATCGATAAATCCCTTTTTAGACATTTTTCCCCAAATTCATTATCTTGACAGATTACACCGGAAACGCCTTGATCAACGTTACGGGGCCTTTGTACACTCAGGTCTTTTTTTACACGGGGGACGGTCCGTGTAAAAAAATCGTGTAAAAAAAAACCTACGAGATTTTGATTTTTCGCATGCTTAAATGTTTCTAAAAAATCGGATTTTGATGCCATTTGTAATTAAAGCATGATTTGGTCCATATAGACATATTTTAAAAATTTCTGTTTTTACACCAAAAATTGTGATTTTTTTTTTAAGTATGCCATTCGATTACAAAAAGCTTGAAACGGATAATGTGATTGGAATCAAGTCGATAGGTGGTATCGTTGTCGAGAAATCGTTAAAAACGTACCGTGTAAATCGTGGAAAACCGTGTAAAAAAAACCGTGTAAAAAAAACCGCGTAAAAAAAACCGTGTAAAAAAAGACTTCAGTGTATGTGTAAACCGTGTAAAAAAAGACTTCAGTATATGTTTTTCGTTGCACTGAAGTTCATATTTCGTGAGAACATAACGAGAATACAGCTGGTGAATAACAATAATATAACAGTCCGGTTACCTTGATGATGCTATCCCGGAAAAAAATAACCTTACAATAACCATAAAATAAAATACAATTACATCAAAATCTATTGCCAACTATCGATCTTATTGTACGTATATTGTTCAAGCAATCTTAAAATATTGTTGTTACAATAGATTTACAATACGTCCCATTTATTAAGAATTTTCAACAATAGAACAACAAGACAATTAATGGTAAATGGCTCATCTTTGTTCGGGAATAAGTGATTTTTCTTATGGTTAAGATACATAGCAACCCCCTTGTTCTATTGTAGATTTCCCCATTTACCATAGATCCTTTAATACATGCTATGGTTATTTTATCGTTGTATCTTCTTTTCTTTATTTAACGTCGGTCTCTGTTCCGCAATCTAGTGCCAATCATCGACGAACATCGATTGCCATCCATTGACGGCAATCGAATGTGCAGGAAGGCAGCTTCCACACCTGCGGAGGATATCGAACTCATTCAACACACATGGGCCGGGACCAACGGCTTTACTTCCCTTCCGAAGGAAGACGTGACCAGAGATTTTTATGCCTCAGAAAAATCCCATCGACCTTGGCTGGGATTGAACCCAGACCCATTGGGGTGAGAAAGCAGTCACGCTTACCACTACACCACCGGCGCCGGCATTTTATCGTTGTAGACTATATGATATTTATAGCGGGACCTTTCAATTAGAATAGATTCTTTGCGATAAAGGCAAGAATGACAACTGTATCAAAACCGAATGCTTCATCATTTCTCAATAGTGATGGAGTAATCCCAAGTAACAATTTTGGTTTTATGAGGGTTCTATAGACCATGATATAGACTTGTAGATTGCTATAAAACCGCGATAAAACCTGCAATGTTACTTGGGCTACGACATGCACTAAACTAAGGACACGGGATATACTACACTAGATCAAATTACTGGTCGCAGTAGTGTTATGTCCCGAACAGAGAAAAAAAAATATGATTTATTTAAAATACAATAAATTCTATTGTATGGTTACAATACATTTCATTGTGCCTCTATGGTTCTTTTTTTACGGGATGTATAACTAGATGATAGGATCAAAATGTTCTGACTTTGTATTCATCAGTCATACAAATCCAGTAATTAAAAACTTGACAGTCAATCGACGGCTTTGTAATTTAAAAATAATATTTTTAAATATTTTATTTGTGTTTTATTTGTATTCCAAAAGTCAAAGAGCATCCAATTGCACTTTTCATACGCAAACTTAATTATAATTATTTAAATCTCAAAAATTAAATTTTATTCGCAAGGGTTGATGCATATATTATGTCACGCTCTAAGGGGGGAGGGGGGATCTAAGATTTTGTGACAAGCAATGCATTTGGTAAAGGAAAAACGTCACGATAGGGGGGGAGGGGTAATTTTTTGCTCGATTTAGCGTGACATAATTAATGCATGGGCCCCAATCTCACTACTCCTCACGCTTTCCTCGCGAAGCGCTCGTGTTTATTTACATTGCTCGATTGGAACCGCGTTCGACGGTTCGATTGGAACTTTTGGCTTCAAGTGGACCCTACACATTTGCTTTTATTGACAATAATCGTATTGCCAATACATTCTATATTGACGTCAATACATCGGTATTGACAATAATTCTGTATTCACATCATCAATATTATTGTCAATAATTCCCCTTCGCGTCAATATATTGATACGTGTGGGGTTCGCTTCAGTCTTCGCGCGTCTTATAAGCAAACCCCACACGCATCAATATATTGACGCGAAGGGGAATTATTGACAATAATATTGATGATGTGAATTCAGAAATATTGTCAATCTCGATGTATTGACTTCAATATAGAATATATTGACAATACGATTATTGTCAATAAAAGCAATCGTGTAGGGTCCACTTTATTAAACATCGTCTCTGGTTGGTATCAGGTAGCCGAATCCCGTTAATTGACAGATGCGAGTAGCACTTGCACCAACACAAGCGCGCACTAGCAGCAGAGCAAAAGCGGGTTGGATCAACACGGCGAATGAGAACAACCCAAAATTGAGTTTAGTTCACTCATAATCGCCAAAAGTGCAGGAACTCAGCGATTAGTAAAATTTGGGTCGTTCTCATTCGCCGTGAAGGCATAACCTTTTTAATGTAGTCAGTCGCAGTTTGATCGTTGCATGAAACTTGAAATGTTTCTCGGAAGATATTTTGTAATTGGATGTGAAATAAATTGAAAAATCGGTTGCGTTTTAAACGTGCCTATAAAAGTATATCCGGAGATTTTTTTTAGACACAACGTAGGGCCTGGTCACCGCTCGACGGAACAAATTTGGAACTAATATTGAATAATTATGGAGACGCATGGTGCTGTTTGGAAAACTCCATCATGAGATATCCCTTGAACACTTTCTGATCGGTCATGACCAACGTACCTAACTGAAATGCACTTTCTGATAGAACTTACCAGTGATTTAAATAAAAATTAATATTATTTTCAAAAATACCATTTTACCGAAGGTACATTAAAGAAAACCTATTCAAATGATCAAATATCTTACAGTAAATATTCCTGAATATCCCTGGAACACTTTTTGATGGGTCATGAACAACTGAAATTCACTTTCTGATACAACTTACCAGTGATTTAATATTATTTTAAAATATTTTAATTTTATTATTATTAATTTTTAAATTTTAACAAATTCATTCGCCTCGAAAATATTTTAATATTGTATTCAAAAATCCAATTCTACCAAAGGTTCATTAAAGAAAACTTGATCGAAGATGAAAATTTCAGTTAGATACGTTGGTTAGGACCGATCAGAAAGTGTTTCAATGATGTCCAGGAATATTTTCTGAAAGATATCATATCATCTAACTTTCTTCTCGAATTCATCCAAATCGACAACTGTAAATCATTCCCACAGCTAACCATTGCTTTTCACAATCGTAAACTCAATTCTGAACCACACTTCCGTCCTCTTCCAGATTCTGCGCCCAGAAATGGGACGGGTCATCTTTGGTTCTGGGAACCATGTACTCCTACGATATATTCGCTGCGATGCCATGCTGCACTGAACGATTGAAGGTAAAATCTCAAACCAAAATCATGTTGACAGCGACCGATCACTAACCTCACCCCTTTCACAGTGCAACAACTGCTTCAAGCTGCTGCTGCACCCGCACCAGCGGCTCAACTTCTTCAGCGACTACAGTCACAGCGTGTCGTGTCCGTACTGTCATGCCCAGGACACCCACTTCGTCAAGCCGTTGGCCTACTGCTACACCAAACAGCCGATGCAGCTGTTCCAGCAGTGGCCATAACATGAGGCCCCGTTGGAGTCGCCCAAGGTGGTAGAACCCCAGTTTGCCACCTCCTCGTCCTCTACCAGTCGAAGCAATAGCACCTGTTCTCCAGCATCGCCACCGTTGCCACCGTCGACGGCATCGGATTCCATGGCAGCGATGAACTCGTTCATCCAAGAGCTGCGCAATCTGAGCAGCACCAGCAGTGCGATGAGCAACAGTAGCTTCGATTCGGGTTTTTCGGCTTCGTTCACCGGGGACTCCAACGTCGGCAGTGGCCGGGCCACAGCCAACACCACGCAACCACAGCAACAGCAACAGTCGAACATCATCTGGGGCAACAAGTCGCTCTGGGGTGTGCCTCCTCCGAGCCCATCTCCAGGAGCGATCAAGTCACCATCGGCGCCCGTAACGGAACCGTCTAGTTCTACTAACAATAACAGTATGTACGCAACTAGCAAAGATTCCTCCGGTAATTCTTCCGGCTCCATATGGGCCACGGCGGCGGTCAGTCCACCCTCGATCCCCTCCCAAACCCTGTCCTCGAACTTTTCCGCCAATATTTGGGAGAATTCAGGTATGAAAGCAAATCCGGAAACGCTCGGCTCGATCTGGATGATTCCGAATGCCGAGCGCGGCAATGTGTGGGGTTCGAATTCTCAGCTGCTACGACCTACGGAAATTGGCTCCGGGGTTCCAACTGTCGGTACTTGTAGCAGCAGCAGTAGTAGTAGTAACAGCAGCAAGCTGAATTCCCTGTGGGCTCCACCGACGTCGTCTACGTCGTCGTCGTCGTCTTCGTCCTCGGGGAATGTGTTGAAGTCGCTCCGGCTGGCTGGTACGGTCGGTGCCGGTGGAGGCGGTGCGTGTTCCAGCTTCGGAGGACTCGGTGGGCTCACCACCACTCCTCCAGTGACTGGAGGCAACGGTACCAACAGTGCCAATGCCGCCCCTTCGTCGACCATGCAGCTCTTCTCGGACGACTTCCTCAGTTATCTCAATATCAACAATTAGAGCAATTTTACAAATCTGTTATTTAGTTCGATTGCGTTTTATTATTATTATTATTATTTTTTTGTCTGACGGTGTTTAGTTTGGAATTTATTATTTTTTTGATGTTTTTTATGGATATATATTTTTCGGTTACTCGTTTACGTATGATGCAGAGTGCATTATATCAAGGAAAGTGTTTTCAGTTTTGAATATTATTGAATCGTGTTGTGTAGATGTTTTTTTTTTTCGTTTTCGACGGAGTAAACTAAAGCAAAACAAGAAAAAGTCCATTATCACATTTAATATTATCTAAAGCAAATCTTAATCGTGTAAGGATTGTGACAAGCGAGTTGTATCTCATTTCTCTAAGTCTAAGTAAATGCAGAAAGCTAAACATCAAACAAAAAAAGGATAAACGAAAAAAGTAACGTTCGGTTCTTTCGCGTGTAATCGTGTTTTAGCTTATATACGAACCTCGGAAGCCAAGCATTTTTGAGGTTAGGAATTGCGTATTGACAAATGCATTACAATCAGTTATTTCCCGTTATTGACTTATGGTAAACGAAACAAATAATAATAATTAAAAAAAAGAACAAAACAAAACAAAACAACTCTAGGGAATGGAAGTGGATGTTTTCTTTTCTCCCTCCCAGGAGAGCGTCAAAATACAAGAATGAAATCAGGTTTTTCTTCTAGGCTTAAGGTAAATATATACAGAAGAATAACCATTTAGAAGTTTATATAAACACGACAAGTGGACAAGCAAGCAAACTCAAAAACCTGTACATATAGGCCCAGATGCAAAAGTGAACGATTAGCAAGCAATATTTATGAGTGCGGTTGATGGTCGAACATATTTGCGCGCGAGCGAAAGCGAACAATGGGAATGATGAATGTGAATGCAAGAGTGTTTCCAAAAGTTTTTGGTCAACGCTCAGTCTACTCTTTTGTGTTTTTTTTTTTTTTTAATTTGGGTTTACGGATCCAAAACAGCACAGATAGAGAGAGAGAGCGAGAGAAAGCGAGAAAAATTTCTAGCGTTTAAGGCAAAAAAAAACAAGCGACATGTGATTCAAATCGTGGAAACTTAAGGTGTATAAATATTCAAATAATCGACTGGCGACTGGTATGTGTATGATCAAAATTCGGAGTTTCTAAAACTCGCTGTATTCCGTTTTCACATTTTAGGAGGTTAGGAGTAAGAAATTATTGGAAAGGCGACAAGCAAAAAGAGAAGAATCTATTTTTCGTACGTGCTTTTTTTTTGTAGGAGATTGTTTTCCGCATACATTTCTCCGGGAAAACAGACGGAAAATTTTACAATTGGTTAGGGTGCGCGCGAGAGCCTAGCGGAGAAAAAAATTTTGGAAGAACTTTTTACATTTTGGTTTCAGAAAGAAACGAAGAACAAGGAAGAATGATGATGAAGAAGAAGAAGAAGAATTGCACAAAAGTGGATATTTACATTAGCGTACCAAATCACGGACACCTTTGGAAATGCACATTTGTTAAGGAAAATTGATAGGTTTATCTAAATTATGACCTCGGGTGTGGGCGCCGGGAGGATGGGTGGGACTGGAGGCTTAATGGATTAGAGAGAAGCGCGAGTTTTGAACCGGTTGACGAATAATTGAGCTTCTCAAATAAATGAGGAACTGCTCGGAAAACACTTGGCCTTCACGGAAAATCTTAAGGCTTCCCAGAAAATCCTGAACGTTGCAGAAGATCGCTGAACTATTCGTGATCTTCTTGAAAGATCGTTAAAATTCTCTAAAATTGTGATCCTGGGTCATTAGACCGAATGGTCATTAGGCCGAATGGTCATTAGGCCGAATGGTCACTTATTCAGCCTAAATATAACTAAACATTTAGCGCAGTTTTAGTTTAAGTTTAGTTTTAGAAGCTAGTTTTAGCCACAGTGAACTATCAGTAACTAACAATTCCAAAAATAATGGTGTAAAAAAGACGAGCAGGAAAAATGAAAGAAACATAATTTGATTACATCGTTTATTCATGATGTCAAAGGTCACGAAAGCAGTTAAACTCAAAAGAACTGCTCATGCTTGAGAGAACGGCAAATACTTTTAAATACAGTAATAATCCGAATTTGCCAGTTCTCTTTTCGACCATATTTCTTAATGTTCTACGAAACCCATGCGCCTTTTCAGCGGTCTTAATACATCTTGAAAATTAATGTGAATCGATTGGGAATTACGGCTATGTGAAACAATTGAAAGGTAAAACTATGACGCGTGGAGGGGTTGACAAAATCGGATCATTACTGTACTACATTTTAACTGCTTGTCAATTCCCCCAGTCTGAATCTTTCAAATCGCAGGGGTTTTTGGAAAATTTATGTATCCCGAAAAAATAACAAGAATTGACAATCAGAGCTTTTTGAAAAATTCCAAGCCCGAGTTTTGGAAAAACTTGCAATTCCCGAGCAACGGAAAATAACTTTTGAATTCCTAATTCTGACCTAATACCAAAATTTGGTGTGGATCAACCTGACGTAAGAGGTAAAAAGAATAATACCAAAAAATTACTTGGAAAATACATTTAAATTAATGAAAATTGATATTTGGGTACCAAAAGAATACCTGTGTGGTATTGTTTTGGTATTGAATTTGCATAATTTGGTATTCGAATGATATTGCGGGAACACTTTTTGGTATTTTACCTCTTATGTCAGGTTGATCCATACCAATTTAAGGTATCGAGATATTCGTTCCTGCTCGGGATGGGAAAGTTTGGAAAACATATATGCACTGAAAGCTCGTCAAAATTAGATTTAGTCTGGGTAAGCTAGAAAATTCCTAGTAGAACGAAAATTTCCAAAACATTCCATCGTTGGGTTCACGAATTTTTGATCATTGATCTGTGTCATGAAATACCGGAAATTTGGTTCGGCCTTTTGACCATTCGGCGTGATGATCATTCGGCTAAACGATCTTCGATATAATGACCGGATATTCTTTTGAATTTTAGGAAGCTCCCTGAACATGATCTGAAAATTAGAAAAATACTCGGAAGATCTGTGAACCTTTTGAACATTCCCTGAACTACTTGGAAGTTCCACAAACTTCTCTTAAACTTCCCGAACTTGTCTCAAATTTTATGAGTTTATATGATATTTATATGATGCATTATCTAAAGTTTTCCGATTATTACTGGTGAAAGAATGGCCTTGGGAGAATATCTGAGAGACGACATGTGAACTTTTTAAAATTGAAGACCTTTATGATCATAATTAACTAATCTGAAGCCATAAACATTTAATTAGAGAGAGTAGGTTTTCTGAGAAGAAGGTCTTCAGTATGATACTTGATCAACATAGAGAGGTCTTTACTAAAATCTTCGATCAGATGAGGATCTTTTTAATAATTACTTGTTATTCTGCCAACTTGTAGGAATGTCTGTGAATTTCACATGACGCCTCGGAAGTTCGCAGAACTTTTCTGGAGTTCTTGAACCTTCCCTGAAATCGCAGAGCAACTCTGACCAAACTTTTCTGCAGTATTCAAAACTTCGCTGAAGTTCCCGATCTTCACTGAAGTTCGTATTTTTTTTTAAATACGCAGAACTGCTCTAAAGTTATCAGAACTTCCTTGACCTTGTCAAACCTTATCTGAAGATCCCGGAAATTCTTGGAAGTTGCAGAACTTTTCTGACCTTCCCAGAATGTCTCTGAAGTTCACAAAACTTCTCTGAAGGTCGTGAAACCTCTATGAAGTTCGCTAACTTTTTCTTAAGTTCTCAGCACTTTTGAGTAGTTCATAGAACTTCTCTGGAGTTCTAAAAACTTCTCTAAAGTCGCAGAACTTCTCTGAAACCGTTTCCAAAACTTCACTGAAGTTCGTAAACGTTGCTTCAAGTACTCAGAACTTCTCTAAAGTCAACTGAACTTCTCTGATCTTCCCGGAATTTCTCTGAAGTTCACCAATTTGTTATATGTTCACAGCACTTTTCGATACTTCGCAGTACTTTTATACAGTTTGCAGAACTTCTCTGATTTTTCCAAAACTTCTCAGGAGTTTCAGACCTTCACTGAAGATAGTAAAATTGACTTTTCTAAAGTTAACAGAACTTCTTTGAGCTTGTTGAGCTTTTCTGGAGTTCCCAGAAGTTTTTGGAAGTTGCAGAACCTCTTGAAAGTTGCAGAACTTCTTGGAAGTTGAAGAATTTCTCTGAAATTCACATTGTTTTTCTTAGGTTCATAGAACTTTTCTGTATTTTTGCAGCACTTATCTGACATTCCCAAAACTTCTCTGTAGTTCTGAATACTTCTCTGAAGCTGTTGAAAATTTCTTATATTATTAAAGTATCTTTGCAATTTCCAGATTTTTACTGAAGTTCGTAAATTCTGCTTGAAGTACACATAGCTTCTCTAAAGTCAACTGAACTTTTTCGACCTTCCCGGAGTTCATCCGAAGATCACAAAACTACTCTAAACTTAGTCAATTTTATATATGTTCACAGCACTTTTCGGTACTTTGCAACGCTTTTATATAGTTTGCAGAACTTCTCAGATTTTCCCAAAACTTCTCAAGAGTTCCAGGCCTTCACTGAAGATCGTAAAATTAACTTTTCTAAAGTTAACAGAACTTCCTTGACCTTGTCAAAACTTCTCTGGAGTTCCAGAAGTATTCGGAAGTTGTAAAACTTCTTGAAAGTTGCAGAACTTCTTGGAAGTTGCAGAACTTCTTGGAAGTTGCAGAATTTCTCTGAAGTTCACATTTTTTTCTTAAGTTCACAGCACTTTTCTGTATTTTTGCAGCACTTATCTGATCTTCCCAAAACTTCTCTGGAGTTTTCAATATTTCTCTGAAGTCGTTGAACATTTCTTATATCTTTAAAGTATCTTTGCCATTTCCAGATTTTTACTGAAGGTCGTAAATTTTGCTAGAAATACACAGAACTTCACTTTTCGGTACGTCACAGCGCTTTGATAAAGTTTGCAGAACTTCTCTGATTTCCCGAAACTTTTCAGGAGTTCCAGGCCTTCACTGAAGATCGTAAAATTACTTTGAAGTACACAGAATTTTTCAAAACTTACCAGAACTTACCAGACTTTTCTGGAGTTTCCAGAACTTTTTGGAAGTTGCAGAACTTCTCTGATTTTTCAAAAACTTCTCAGGAGATCCCGGCCTTCACTGAAGATCGTAAAATTACTTTGAAGTACACATAATTTTTCTAAAGTTAACAGAACTTCCTTGACCTTGTCAAAACTTCTCTGGAGCTCCCAGAAATTTTTAGAAGTTGCAGAACTTCTTGAGAGTTACTGAAGATAACAAAACTTCTCTGGACTTCTCAGAACTTCTCTGAAGCCGCTGAACTTTTCTGAAATTTTTAATTGTAATGTCAAGATCTTCACTGAAGTTCATTAGTTTTGCCTGAAGTACACAGAAC